AGAGATTCACCTGCCTCTGCTTCCCAAGTGCTGGGATTAAAGGCATGTGCCACCACACCCAGAAAATATCTTTGTAATAACTTTTTTTTTGCTCTACATCCAAGTTTTAAAAGGATCAACAGTGGCCACCAACTTTCAAGCACAGCATGCATGATTAATTCTTTCCTCCTAGGGTCTCTATGGCGCTATCTGAGGCTGCACCTGAGGCTGGCACCAAGGAGAAGATAGGCTACAAAGGTGATAAGCACTCCCACCCAGAAACTGGGTTCAGGAAGCACCAGCTGGAGCTGTAGTTAATCATTCACTCAAACCACAAGAAAGGACTTCTTCCTTGGTGAGCTCTGGACAAGTCATCTAGACTGAAAACTAAGACCCAGTGGTACACAGGTGAGGTAGAGAAGTGGCCTGGGGCACAGGTCCTGCACCCAAACTCTCCTCTCACTACCCCAAGTTTGACTTCTCTCAAGGACAACTCTTAAAATGTATCTGGAGCTTCTCTACCATGCCCTCACAAAAGGACAGAATGCTGCTGAGGGCAAAGAAAAAGGGAAGGCAGTTGCCAGGCAACCTGCCTAGCCCACCTTTGTTTACTCTGGTGGCATCAGTGAAGGTGTAGTCAGAACTATTTGGTAATGTCAAATGACTTTTCTTGCCAACAGTCATTTCTTTGACTTGGGGTGCAGCTGTGGCCACGTCACAGCCTCTTCTGTCTGGGACCCCTGCAAAGCGTGAGGACTGAAGGACAATCCTGATTGCCTTTGCTCGTGTAAGACACAGTACTGTTAGCAGAAAACCAGGTAATGGCTTCCTCCTTCTTTCCCCATATTCCCTTCAAGTGGCTCCAAGTTGGCAGCCTACTGAAACCAGCTCCATTTCTAGAATATGGTAAGCCTCCTGTTTTCAGCTGCCTCTAGGGACAGTACCTTAGCCATACCTCTGTTCTTATTTTTTTTTTTTTAAAGATGTGTTTGTATATATGTGTGTGTTTTGTCTGCATGTATATATGTGTACTTGCTGCCTATGGAGGCCAGAAGAGGGTGTTATATCCCCTGGAGCTAGAGATGCCATGTGGGTGAAGGGAACCAAATCTGGGTCTTCTGCAAGAGTAGCCAGTGCTCTTACTCACTATGCCATCTCTCCAGCCACATGTATTCTTTTTTTAGAGACCTGATTTTGATGTTTCCTAGCTTCCCTGGAACTCTTGGGTTCAAGCAATCATCCTACCTCAGCCTTTGGAGGAGCTAAAACTTTTAAATGCACACAACTATTCCCAGTTGGGCTATCCTGATCTCTCAAAATACCTCTTAAACATCTGGCAACTGGGCAGGAAAAGTAGGGGAGACCATTTTAGGTTCTAGCGGGGAGGGCCCAGGTGTGGGGAGACACCTTGGCTCACATCAGGCCTGTTCAAAAAAGAACCAGAACTCCAAAGGCAGCCTCCAGAAGGGTGCAGGGCCCTCTATCAGGAAATTACATTTGTTCATTGCTAGAGACTTCAAGCTAAAGAGTCACCATTCCCTCAGTGTTGACTAGCCACAGAGATGTGCAGCTGTTCAATGCAGCTGCATAGCAGTTGAGACTGGTGGTGTGGAGAACAGTACCAAGGACAAGGCCTTCAGGGCTCTGCACTCAGGGCCTTTGTCTCTTCTTTTACAGATTTACACAGGCCAAATGGCAACCCTAAACGTCACTCAGAATGACGACTTCTGGCAGAACCCCTGGGATGTGGGAGGTCTGACAGTGATTGGCTTATTCACCTTCACCTTTGTGTTCTTCATCATATTTGCTACTGTGTTTGGTTACGTGGAAAAGACAGAGTGTGAAGAGGAGTAAGCGGACTTCCTTAGAAGGCAGCAGGCAAAGGCAGGTTGACCTGCCTACCCCATACCAGTGGTTGGGCTTTCCACAGTCCCCTGTGGCTCAAGAAAGACTATTCAAGCACATGAAGAGGGCCTCTCCTCTACCTCACATGAGAGCAGCAATGGCCAGCCAAGTCCTCTAACAGGTTCCCTGCCGAGCCAGCAACCTTTTAAGTCCTTGACAGAGAAAGAAAACCATCAAAGTAAAGATTCCTTTTCAAATCTGCTAACTTGTGATAGCTCGTTTTCTACGTAGACATGGTTACTGGAGCCGGCTTTCCTAGTGAACCTCACCAATGCCTGCAAGCCCTCATGGGTCTGGTCCTGTAAGGAGCACAATCAGTCTCATTGGCTGTGTGCCATGTACCCTTAGGTTCACAGCACGACTTCCAGTTCCTAAATATGCTGTGCTTTCTCCTGCCTCCGTTCTGCATCTCCCCCTGACTGGGATGCTCTCTTTCAAACCACATCCAATTCCATGGCCTAACTGGTACCTTCACCCTTCAGGTCTCAGTCTAAACCTGCCTTGTTCAGGTGAACGTCCCCTGACTGACTTGTAAGACTGAGACAGAGCTACTTGTTACTCCTTTTTTTTTTTTTTTTTGTCTTTTTGAGACAGGGTCTCCCTGTAGCCCCAGCTGTCCTGGAACTCACTATGTAGACCAGGCTGGCCTCGAACTCACAGAGATCTGCCTGCCTCTGCCTCCCAAGTGCTGGGCTTAAAGGCATGCGCAACCATGCCCAGCTGCTACTTGTTACTCTCGAAACACCATGTACTTTTCTTTCAAAGCCCTTTCATGAGTAATTTTATATATTTTTTAAATTTTAATTTATATTTATTTTATATTTATATGCTTTTATCTTAATATAGATATTTTGGTCTTTTTGAGTCAGGGTCTCCTGTAGCCGCAGCTGGTCTGGAACTCACTATGTAGACCAGGCTAGCCTCGATCTTAGGGAGATCCACCTTGCCTCTGCTGGGATTAAAGGCCTGTGCCAATATTTTTAATGATTATATGACAAGTGTTTGTCTTCTCCATGAGGCACTTTCAGTGTGCTTGGCACAGAGTTGGTACCAATCTACATTAGTTGGTTAATAAATAAATCAATGAGTAAATGAGTACACAGACGGATAAACTAGAAGACAATGAGCTGTTGGGCTTCCCTAGTCCAGAGCCACCAAGACAATTCAACCCAGGCCAAAACACAGAGCTCTTCTTGCATTTTAAAGTGCCCAGAATGCCAACCCAGAGGTTATTTCAAACCTGATAACTGTTCCTGCAACACTGAAAGGCAAAGGCCCTGCCATGAAGAATACTTTTTTGTGACTGCAGCCCTGAGAAAGTAGCTACATAGCAGAGACAAGAAGAAAACCACTAGCTGCCCCACACTGGCCTCATTCAGAATGAACTTGAGTATCTTTTCTCTTGATTCCAGGCCTCCTCCCCATATCCCACTCACACCCCGCAACCCCTACAACAGCTTCCTTTTAGAAATGTACCCATCTCAGCCAAGCCCACCCCTGTCGCTTCCTGGCAGGTGCCTGCCCTAAGGGACTGGTGGGAACAGCCACCTGGACCTCAGCCTCAAACCAGAACTATTCTTAGAAAAGGAACAACTATCTGGCAACTAAGGGGCTTTTTTATTTCATGCTATGCACTGTTTACCCAATTAAGAAACATTCTCTTTCATTCAAAGAACAGTGGCTAATAGAGATGTGCCTACTCTACCCAAACCTGGGAATCCTGAGATCCAGGACCTCACATATAGCCAACAAGATAGGAATATGAGGCTACACACAGGGCAGGGGAGGCCACTACTTGGACTCTTGGTTCCACAGATGCATAGTCCCTATACCTTTAATTGGCCCATTAAAACATTAAGAAGTTCCAGAATTAATGAAGGTAGAGGCCCCAAGGAGGACCTGTCTCCTTGCCTGGCAGGTTGTGGCACCCAGAGTCTCAGACAAGACCCAGCCAAGGTTTTTTACAGTGGGGACTGTGGCAATTAGCAGGAGCACTTGCTCCCTTCATTCCTCACCAGAAACGAGAGCTCTATTCACAGGGCCAGAGCTGGCTGAATTTAGAACTTTTATGAATCAGTGTCTGGAAAGGACTCTGGTGGTATGGCCCTGGGTAAGGGTGGGCCTGGCACTGCAGCCCACTACTTTTGTTGGGTGGGATCTTGTCACAGTGGTTAAATTAGAGATGCCATTTCCAAAAGGAAATACCTCAGACTGAGCCACCAACTAACTCATCAGTGGGTAGGATGAAGATAAGAATCCAAATGTAGGGCCCAAATAAATGTTTCCCTGGTTTCCAGAGGAGAGCCTAAAACATCTGCAAGATACCAGTACTATGTACATAATCAGCATCCTGTTCAATATATAGTATTAGGGATAGGGTACAACTCAGTGGCAGTGTTTGTATAGCATGTAGAAGTTTCTGGGTTCAATTGCCAATAACATAAAAACAGACATTTTCTCCCTCCCCGCAAAAGACTCTTGTCTTGTAAAACCCAAGGTGCCATATGTGTAAAAGGAGTACTTCCACTGAAAATCAGGAGGCTTAAGTTTAGCAGATTCTATCACGAGCTTTGTTGACATGACCTGTCTAGTGCCTGGCTTATTCATCCCTAAGTCTGAGGCAATCACTTCTGTTCATCAGCTCCTAAGATTCTTCCATGAAATCAAATGAATCCAAGACCTTTATAGACAAAAGTATATTGAATCCTCTTGGGTGTCTTTCACATCAATGATGCATATGCCCAGACACAACCTGTCACTGAGCAGCTATCAGGCTCTTTGCCTTTGCTCATGGCTCTTGCCCCATTGCCTTAGATGCAGACAAAATAGGTTCCACATAGGAAGTCTAGTGTTCTGTTAGAAAGGCTAATTTCTTCAAAGCATGTGACATCCACTACTTCCCACCACTGCCCAGGAGATAAGTGGGCCCCAGGCTTTAGACCTATGTAAGAGTGAGTACAGCTCATCAGGTGTGGTGATACATGCCATAATCTTAGCATATGAGAGGTGGAGGCAGGGAAGACAATCAGAAATTCTAACAGCCAGACTAATACGTGGTACATTCAAGGCCAGCCTAGGTTGCATGAGACACTATTTCAAAAACAACCACCAAAACAAGTACAACTTGAGAGCTGGAGAGATGGCTCAGTGTTTAAGAGCACTGGCTGCTCTTGTAGAGAACTGGGGTTCGGTTCCCAGAATCCTACATGGTGGCTAACAACCATTTGTAACTCTAGTTCCAGGGGATCTGATGCCCTCTTCTGGCCTCTGTGGGCACTGCGTAGGCAAGACATACATATTAAAAAAAAAAAAAAAAATATATATATAATTTTGGAGTATGCAAGGAAATGACCCAAAGCTTAAAAAGTTTTGGTTTATAAAAAAAAAAAAAAAAAAAAAAAAGAGTACAACTCAAGTACAGCCAGAAGAGCCAGCTCAGCCACTCATTACTATGTCCTGAACGGCTGAATGTGGCTGGCCATCCTAGAACATGGAGAAGAACTGATGGCCTCCCAAACACAGAAGAGCTGCGCATACATGTGGCCACAGTTCCCATGGCCTCCAGAGAAGGGAAGGGTTAAACTTCCACACTGCCTGACATGTGTATGACCTTTGCAAGCAGAGGGTTAGCTTATGTTAGCCTGTACCTGTTAGGTGAATGCTTTTCCATTGAGCTTCATTACATTCCTAGCCTCACTTACCCCAGTTCTTCACAGAAGGTCACCAGGGCATCAAAGGCCAACAAGGTGGCTTTATCAGATGCTTTGTTCCCTCTCTTTTCCTGGAGAGAGAAAACCACCACTTAGCACATCTTCCAGCATCATACTACCTTGCTGTCACAATAAGTAATGAAGGAGAGAAATATTAAAGGACAAAATTAAAGCTACTTACTAAGCAGTGTCCCTAAACCTGACAAATGCATCAGAATCTTCAGACCACTGATTAACTTTTTCGGATGGGAGCTTTTGAGAGCTGACATTTCCAAAGAATTCCTCAAGAGATTCTTAGGCAAATGATCTGAGCTGACATTTGGGAAACTGTACTATGATCTAATTTCCAACAGTAAATACGTGCACACGTGTTGGGTCCTTACCTCTATATGCTAATGTATATACAAAGAGGATATAGACTAAATGTTATCCCTGATTATTTCTGAGTGATAAGATTATGCGTTATTGGCCTTTTCTATACATAATCTATTTTCCAAAAGTTGCTTTCTTTTTGAGACAGGGTCTCCCTGTAGCCCCAGCTAACCTGGAACTCAACCTGGCCTTGAACGCACAAAGATTCACCTACCTCTACCTCCCAAGTACTGGGATTAAAGGTGTGCACCACCATGCTAAGTCCTTTAAAAAAATTTTTTTTAAGAGTATTGGCTAGGGATATTGCTTAGTGATAGAGTGCTTGTCTAGCGTTCATAAAGACCTGGGTTCAATCCCCAAGACTGAAAAAGAATTATAATTTTCATTTATTTTTGTGCAATTGGCTAGGGATTGAATCCAGTACCTCACTCATGTATGTTAGGCAAGAGCTCTACTACAGAGTTTTGTCTCCAGCCTCCAAGCTGCAATTTCTTGTTACACCAATATTTTTTTCATTATGACTATGTCAACATTGTTCCAAGCTAAACCACATGATTACACTTTAACACCTCCCATGATCACATTTCCTTCCTTGTACAACTTCATTTCCTCTGAAATCAGTATTTGTTTTTTTCCCTCACTTTCTTAGATTTCAGGGCATCAGTAAATTAATCTTCAAATGTTTTGCTGTAACAATTCATTTCAATAGGTGCCCAGGATGTCAGGTCAATTTGATTTTGGAAAACCTCGAGTCTTCAAGACCCCAGTTGCGTCTGTATGATTTTTCTCTAGGCCTGTGCCCATGTGTCTTTAGGGTTACTGCTGGACACTCTAGGGGTGTTCCTTTTGTCCTGTTCCCAAGCTACACCTCCATTTTCTTCTCTATAGCAGAGAGCATCCTCTACTAACCTGTGAGACATGGCACACTGGAAGATATTTTTTTTTTTACTTTGTACCTGAAAATGCCTTTATTCTATCTTTATTTTTTTAAAAATAATTTATTGAGAATGTCATACATGCATATAAGCATATAAGGTATTTTGATCAAGTCCATGCCCACTCCCTCCCCTCCAACGCCCCCCATACCTCCCCATCATTTTTTTCTTATAACTTCATGTACTCTTTTTTTTTTTCAGTTTAAGGGTTAGATAAAAGCTACCAAATACGTTTGACATTTTTGGCCTTCAGAATGGAGTATGTTGCTAAGAGGCCCAAGGATATTGTGACTTTTAACCAAGAAACTGGCTACTTTTCTTTGGGGTCTTTTTACTCTAACTGCCTAGCCAATTCCTACCTCCTATTCTTATCACACCATCCTCTGAAGATGTTACCCAGCTTGCGGATAGGGAATCGGGACGCAGACTGCTCTGGCTTCTTCGATGCTGAACAGGGACGCAGGGTGAGGCAATTGGGGTACCCCTTCAGTGGGTCTATCTAAAAGACTGCCAAATTGCATAACTCTTATCTGTAGGGGGAAAAGAAGTCCTTGACTGGTGAATAGGAGATGTGAAAGAAAAGTAAAGGCAAGAATAGTTAGCATTACAAGTTCCAGACAGGGAACTAGAAAAAAGTCAGAACAGGGTAATTTTCAAATGTTCATATGAGAGTCCACTGGGATTTCTTGACAAGGGCTTCCAAAAGCATCCCTCTGTTGGGTTCCTCTTCATTTTTCTTTTGTCTACCAAGGCTGGACTCTAGAGTGATGGATTCAGCAGAAATCCTTTATTCTACTTTTATACTCAAGAGGTTGGCTGAATAGACAGGAAATTGTTTATTTAGAATTTGAAGACACTGCTTTTTTTTTTTTTTTTTTTGGTCTTTTTGAGACAGGATCTCCCTGTAGCCCCAACTGACCTGGAACTCTCTATGTAGACCAGGCTGGCCTTGAACTCACAGAGATCCTCCTGCCTCTGCCTCCCAAGTGCTGGGATTAAAGGCGTGCACCACCATGCCCAGCTAGACACTTTTTCTTAATATTTCATTTATTATTTTTTATTTTATGTGTATAAGTGTATTGCCTGCCATGTATGTAAGTGCACCCGTGTCATACAATACCCACGGAGATCAGAAGAGGGCACTGGATCCCCTGGAACTTGAGTTATAGACAGTTGTTAGCCATGTGGGTGCTGGGAACCGAACCCCTGCGAGAGCAGTCAGTGCTTTAACCGCTGAGTCATCTCTCCAGCCCTGACACTGCTTTGTTATAGTTTTTGGGGGATGGAAGCTTCAAGCACAAGTTAGGTAAGTGCTTTACCACTGAGCTATACCTCATTTTACTTTTTGAGATGGAGGGTCATTAAGTTGTACAGGATGACATTTAACTCACTCTCTTTTTCGTTGTGAGCTGTGCCAGCTCTCCAGCCCTAACTCACTCTCTAACCCAGGCTGGCACTTAATTCACAATCTTTCTACCTCAACCTCCAGAGTAGCTGGAATCAGAGCACTGCATTACCAGGCTTGGCTTTACTGGTCTTATTTCTGGTATTGTGGAGAACATAGATGTTCTTCTGGTTTCCAATCCTTACATACTACTGTATCACTGAAGGCTTTATCTGTTTTATCTCATATGATCTGATGTGGGGTCTGACAGTTCATTCACTCTTTTATAAGATGTTTGTGAGTTTTTGTTGTTTTCATTGTTTTGTTTTTTGAGATAAGAGTCTCACTATGCAGCCCTGGCTAGCCTAGAACTGGCTATGAAGACCAGGCTGGCATCATACACAGATCCACCTACCTCTGCCTCTTAGGTGCTAGAATTAAAGATGTACGCCAGCACACGGAGCTTGTCTTTATAGCCTAGGCTCACCTTAAACCCACAGTGATACTTCTGCTTCAGTCCCTCAAGTACTGGGATTACAGGAGCATACTTCCATGCCTGGTTTACAGTGCTGAAGATCAAACAGTATTTTCTAGGCAAATACTCTACAAATGAGCTATATTTCCAGCCCCGCCCCCTCTGGGGAGGGTTTAAGATTCGGTCTCACTATAGGACAGGTTGACCTAGAACTCTTTATGTAGCCTAGGAGGCTTTGAAGCTGCACCAATCTTCCCACTTCTGCCTCCTACATGCTAGGATTACATAGCTGGCTTACTAAGTTCTAATTACACTGCATTAGTAAGTTTTGTTTTGGTTAAGATCATGTAGTAGATGCTCCCCTTAAACTGAACCTCCTGCTTCTGTCTCTCAAGTGCTGGGATTACAGATAGCTCTGTGTGGGGTTAGAGATTTAGCTCAGTGGTAGAGTGCTTGCCTAGCAAGCTCAAAGCCCTGGGTTTGGTCATTAGTTCCGGGAAAAAAAAAAGACAAAATAACAGATAGCTTTGTGTTAGTAAGCTTTACTTTTATAAAAAAAATATTTTATTTATTATTTTTATTTTATGTATATGAGTGTATTGGCTGCATGTATGTGAGTGCACCCATGTCGTGCAATGTTGTGGAAATCAGAAGAGGGTTTCAGATTCCTCTGGAACTGGAGTTAAGGACCCAGGTCCTCTGCAAGAGCAGTCAGTGCTCTTAACCACTGACTGAGCCATCTCTCCAGCCCCTAGTTTTACATTTTTAAAAATTTATTTACTCTTACTGGGAGTGGTGGCACATGCCTTTAATCCCAGCACTTGGGAGGCAGAGGCAGGTAGATCCCTGTGGTCTACATAGAGAGTTCCAGGTCAGCTGGGGCTACAGGGAGACCCTGCTTCAAAAACATCAAAAAACAAAACAAAACAAAACAAATTTATTTACTCTTATTTTATATGTATGAGTGTTTTGCATGCAAGTATGTAAATCCTGGAATATAGACGGTTATTAGCCACCATGTGGGTACTGGGAACCAATCCTTGGTCCTCTGCAAGAGCAGTCAGAGTTCTTAACCACCTCTCTAGCCCCCACTTTGGTTTGTTTTTGTTTTTTTATATGTATGAGTGTATTTATGTGCATGTATGTAAGCATACCCATATCACACGATACCTGTGGAGGTCAGAAGAGGGTATGAGATCCCCCGGATCTGATGTGAATGTTGGGAATTGAACCCAGGTCCTCTGTAAGAACAGCCAGTACTCTTAACTGCTGGGCCATCTCTAGCCACCCCCTTTGTTTTTGTGTTGTTTTGTTTCTTTTGGGGGGTCTTTTTGAGACAGGATCTCCCTGTAAATACAACTGGCTTGGAACTCACTATGGAGACTAGGCTGGCCTCAATCTTACAGAGGTAGACCTGCCTCTGCCTCCCAAGTCCAGGGATTAAAGGTGGGCACCACCATGTACCCCCTTTGTTTTTTTAAATTTTTTGTCTTTTTGAGACAATCTCCCTGTAGCCCCAGCTGTCCTGGAACTCACTATGTAGACCAGGCTGGCCTTGAACTCACAGAGATCTGCCAGCCTCTGCCTCCCGAGTACTGGGATTAAAGGCATGCGCCACCATGCCCAGCTCTGTTTTTTTTAATATTTTTATTTTATGTGTATGAGTGTATTGCCTGCATGTGTGTAAGTGCACCCGTGTCAAGCAGAGGTCTTCTGCAAGAGCAGTCCGTGCTTTTAACCACTGACCCATCTCACCAGCCCAACTCCCTTTGTTTTCTGAGACAAGGTCTTACTATACAGCCTAGGTTGACCTGGAACTCACCATGTAGCTAGGTTAGCCTCAAACCCTCAATCTCTCTCCTTCTGACTCTTGAGTGCTAGATTACAGGTGTTCAACACCATGCCCAACTGTTTTTTGCTTTTAAAAATCTTGAGATATAGCCAGGTGTGGTGGTGCAAGCCTTTAAAAATCCCAGCATTTGGGAGGCAGAGGTAGGTGGATCTTTGTGAGTTTGAAGCCAGCCTGGTCTACATTGTGAGTTCTAGGCCAGCTGGGGCTACAAGTAGCTGTCTCAAAAAAAAAAAATCGTGAGATAGGGGCTCACAAAATGGCTTGACAGGTAAAGACACTTACTATTGGAGAACTGACTCCTTCAAGTTGTCCTCTGACCACCACACATAAGCTGTGCTGTCCCTGTTCCCCCTCGCTCCCAATATAACTCATAAAAAGCCAGGCATGGTGGTACATGCTTTTATTTCCAGCACTAGAGAGGCAGAGGCAGTGAGATCAAGGCTATATAATGAGCCAGGTAAGCTGGGACAACAGGGAGACTCTGCCTTAAAAACAAATAGGCTGGGCGTGGTGGCTCATGCCTTTAATCCCAGCATTCGGGAGGCAGAGGCAGGTGGATCTCTGTGAGTTCAAGGCCAGCCTGGTCTACATAGTGAGTTCTAGGACAACTGGGCTACAGGGAGACCCTGTCGCAAAAAGACCAAAAAAAACAAAAAACAAAAAAAAACAAAACCTTGGGAAAATCTTTACATAACAAAGCTCACTAAAACAAGGCTAGAACTATCTTGAGCTGGATGTAGTAGCCTTTAATCCTAGTACTTGAGGGGGCAGAGGCAGATAGATCTCTCTGAGCTCAAAACCAGTCTAATAATAAATTTAAAAAAAAAAAAAATCCCAACTACATAAAATAGCATATATACAAAAGACAGTTTGTCCCCAGCCATCCTACTTACTCTACACACCATTTCCTCCTGGCTACATTTTCCAGGCCAGGCCTGACTCTTCTAGCTTACAAAAGCTCTATGTAGGCTCAGTAATAAGCCGCATGAAATTGGAGAGGTGGGTTCAGACAGTAAAAGCTTCCTCTGCCCAGGACTTACCTGGAGTTTTGCTATTTCCTTTCTGATCAGGAAGCTGACTTGGTCCCGGTCATTCCTAGAGTAATACAAACGGCACCATGAAGGCTTCCCATCCCTGCCAGCCCGTCCAGACTCCTGGTAGTAGCCAGCCATTGACTTGGCAATATTCCAATGGGCAACAAACCTGTGGAATCCAAAAGGACATATGATGTGGTGGAAGAGCTGAGTGCTCCATGGAGGAATCATCCTGTCAGAAGAGAAGGGCTTTCTTCATAGTGGCCATGTGCAGGGAAGCTAACACAGGCAGGCAGAGAGATCCCAGAGTAAGTAAGAGTAAGCCAGGCAAGACACCTGTGACCCATCAGAAGGCCTTTCTACCATGGAGCTGGCCAGCTTAGAGGTCATAGCAGGAGTTAAGGAGGGAAATTCTAGCACATATGGTGAACTCAAGATGCTTGTAGCCAGAGGCAGAATAAATACTAGACTTAAAAAAAAAAAAGATTTAGGGCCCTGGAGAGATAGCTTGGCAGCTAAAAGCATATACTGTCCTTGCAGAGGACCCAGGTTTGATTCCCAGCACAAATGGGGTGGCTCACAATCACCTGTAATTCCAGCTCTAGAGGATCCAACACTCTCTTCTGGCCTCAGTGGGCACTGCACACAAATGCACAAATCCACACACAGACATACATGTATACATACACACAATTAAAAATTAAAAGGGGCTGGACAGATGGCTCAGCAGTTGAGTGTGTATTGTTTTTCCAGGACTTGAATTCATTTCCAGTACCCATATCACAACTGCCTGAAAGTCTAGTTCCAGGGGATCTGACATAACTCTTCTGGCCTCCACAGGCATAATACAACATGGGTGCATTTACATACATGCAGGCAAAATACTCATACACATAAAATAACAAAATAAAATACTTTTTAAAAATGATAGAAGGAGCTGGAGAGATGGCTCAGCAGCTGGGTGTGTACTGCTCTTTCAGGACCTGAGTTCAGTTCCCAGCACCCATATCAAGTGGCTCACAACCACCTGTAACTCCAGCTCTAAGGGGATCCAATGCCTCTAGTCCCTGTACACATTGCAGACACACACACACACACACACACACACACACACACACAAATAAATAAAAATAAAAAATAAGATTAGGCTCTGCCACTTAAGAGCAGCATGACTTTGTCTTTCTACACCTCTTTTGAAGGGAGAAAGAGATAATATTTATTAAATACCTACTGTGTGCAAGTTAATATATTTGTCTCATTTAATTGTTACTTACCATCATGTGAATTAGCCTATTCTAGAGATGATAAAGGACATCAGAAGGTGAATTTGTACAACACCCAGTGAAGGAGCAGCAGAGCTAGTATTTGAGGCTAATAGTGTGACTTTAAAGTTGACTCCTAACATGCCATGGCAGCCCAGGGCTAAACTCTTGTTTCTATAATCTGTGTTTTCCCGAATGCAGTAGAAAGACTAATTCCTACCCAGTGACTTTAAGAGGCTCACCATGGCTGAATATACAGAAGTACTCTGAAAATCATACAAAGCATTATTATTGGTATTATGGCAAAGGGCTCAGGCAGTAATCCAAAAGTTTTCCCAAAGTCAGACCATGGCTGAAGGTTAAAAAAAAATTCCCCAGAGTTGCCAGAGTGAGGCTAGGTAGCTAGAATGAACCCCCCAACTCTTTTTTTTTTTTGGTCTTTTTGAGACAGGGTCTCCTTAGCTCCAGCTGACCTGGAATTCACTATGTAGACCAGGCTGGCCTCAAACTCACAGAAATCCATCTAAGGCGTTGCACCACCACACCCGGCCAAGAACCTCAACTCTTTAAGATTTTAAGTAGAAACAAAGGATGTCAGTTGCCTTTGACTTCCCACAGCAAACAGCTCAGTTATTTCATTCCAGCTCCCTCGCAGGTTTACCTGAAAGATGGGAGGGAACTAGACTCCTTTAACAAAAAAACCTGAAAGCCTGCATGCTGTCAGCCTTCCTGGGAATGAAGAACCATGCTGTGAAGTCGCCTGGGAACAGGCCCCTCAGAAACTCATTTGTGTGTGTACTAGGGACTCTCCTGCAGCCGCCCTCCTCTGTGGCACTAGGCAGATTATATGGACTTGGGACTCTGTACAGAACACTAAGTAATTCTCCATAAGCCAAGCCTCAACTGGGAATGTAAAGCAAGAACCAGAGCACTAGGCAATTCACCATGAGCCAAGCCCCAACTGGTATTGTAAGGTAAGAACCAGAGCTCACCGGACATTTGCTTTGTCCACTCCCATCCCAAAACTGATGGTTGCGACAATTACAGGAACTTTCTCCTCCATCCACTCATTCTGCACCTGTGTTCTATCAGAAGCCTTCAGCCCTGGAAAAGAGGGAAAGGTGGTCAAGAAAACTCAATTTCCCATGGGTTTACCTCAGGGGTTTATCTTGGGTTTGACACTGTCCTGGACACTTTACCTTAGGCAGTAACTATGGTGGGGGCAGCTGCTGGCTGTCCTATTGGCACTTAATCCTATTACGTAATTACTATGGGGTTCTAAGGTTGGGAGAACAAAGAGCCCTCTGCAGCACAGAAATGGAAGTGGGTTTTCAAAACCCTCTGATTTCCTAGTTATCGTAGCTAGCCTCCTTAAAACTTGTGTACAAAGGGAGTTAGTTATCCCCTTTTTAAAAAAACTTGGCATTTCCCTCTTTACTGGGATTCTCTGGTCCTGGATCCTACTGTGGGAGGCAAGCAGGCAGTGCTTGTATGTATGTACCCTGAATCCATCATTTCCTATCTCATGGAACCTCGACTAATAAAGACCTTAGCCCATGAGTGGCACAGAGGACTTAGTAAATGTGAGAGCCAAGATTAAAACTCAAGTTCATTGGCTTCCAAAGAATGTGCTCCTTCAACTTGACTTTTTGGGGGGTGTCTTTTTGAGACAGGGTCTCCCTGTAGCCCCAGTTGTCCTGGAACTATGTAGACCAGGCTGGCCTTGAACTCATAGAGATCTGCCTGCCTCTGCCTCCTGAGTGCTGGGACTAAAGGCGTGCACCACCACACCCGGCTTCAATTTGACTTTTTATAATACTTGTGCCTATAAAACTCATCTCTTGCTGCTGGGTGGGCACAGGGTAGGAGAAAGAATTCAGGACTCACAACCCCTATTTTAGACCTCATCCATGTCTAGACTTCCTTTGGTGGATTTAAGTGAATCACTTTAGCACCATATGCATATGTATCAAGACAGATAAGACAAGCTGATATTCAGAATCTTTAAGAAGCAAATGACATGCTCAGAAGCAAGAAAAAGTGAAGAAAACCGCATGGTCTGGACACCTCTTACCTGCATGGTAAGCCTTGGCATTCACACCCCTGCTGCTGAGCTCTATGGCCAGCTGTTCACAAGACTCTCTAGTCCTGCAGTACACAATGCCGCAGCCAGATAACTGAGCAGAGAGAGATGGGAAGACAATCAGGGGAAGAACAGCCCACTCACTGCAGTGCAGGTTGCTTTAAAAGCTTCGAGCTTTCTCTTGCCAATGTCCCATTCTTCTCTGAGGCAGGATAGCCAGCAACCATCCCCACCACAGTAACTACCTAATAGGATTACGGTAAGAATTAAATGGAACTTTAGGTGAGATGAAAGCCAGGCACGGTACTATATGCCTGTAATCTCAGTACTTTGAAGGTGAAAGCAAAGAGGATCAGGAATTTGAGGCCAGCCTTAGCTACCTGTTAAGTTTAAGGCCAGAATGGGTTACATGAAACCCTGCTTCAAAACTCCAAAAAAAGAGAAAAAAGTGAATGTATATAAAGTACTTGGCATAAAGCCTATGATCATTGTTTTTAAGAAACAGGGCCAAAGCAGCTAAAAATTCAACTTTTCTAATCCTGTCTCTTGTGCAGGCAAGGACATACATACAAAGATTGCATGCTTGCCTCCCCACAGTAGGATCCAGGACCAGAGAATCCCAGTAAGGAGGGACATGCTAAATTTAAAAAAAGGGACAACTCCCTTTGTACACAAGTTTTAAGGAGACTAGCTAAAATAAGTAGGAAATCAGAGGGCTTTGAAAACCCACGTCCATTTCTGTGCTGCAGAGAGCACTTTGGCTCCCCCAACCCCAGGATCTCACCCCTTTATCAGCCTTCTGTCCAAGAGCCTTAAGGCAGAAGTCCCTCAGATTCCCATAGAGATCAGGAATCAGTTCCTTGAACTGCACATCATAGAAGAGGTTGGCCCGGAAGCAGGGAGTCTTGAAAGAGGCCACTGGTTGCTTCAGGTGTAGGGCAGCAAACACATCCTCTTGGACCTGTGGGATAGCTGTGGCAGTCAGAGCCACACAAGGGGCATGTGCCAGGCGGGAACGCAGGGCACCCAAACGCAAATAGTCAGGTCGGAAGTCATGGCCCCACTGGGAAACACAATGAGCTTCATCCACCACCAAGTAGGAGAGCAGGTGGCGGGACACCAGGGAATTCAGAGTGGGCTGGAAGGAGGCTGAAGCTGCCATCTCCGGGGTGATGTACAAAAGCTTGGTCCGAGGTTTTTCTTGCTCCAGGTCAGAGAGCAGCTCTTTTCTCTCCTGCACTGAGAGCTTCGAGTTCAGAGAACTAACTCGTACCTTCAAGGCCAACAAGTGATCTACCTGGTCCTGAGCACAGAAAAAAGCCCAGGGTGAGGTATAATTAGCCCTCATTACCTGGCAGTGAGCACCACTGTAAATCCCTGGGGGATTTCTCAGTCCTAAAACATCTTCCTCCCATCCTCCAATGTCTTCTCTCTGCCCACAAGTATGGAAAATGAAGTGGTTGGGAGGACAGGCTCTGAGTCAGAAAGAACTGGATCTAAACTAGGCTCACATAATTGTCACATGCTTTCTGATTGTTTCATAACCCCTGAGATTCAGCTCATTCTCATTCACCACAATGACCCCCACCCTGACCACATTAACTACCTAATAGGATTATGGCAGGAATTAAATGAAGCTACTCCTCAAAGGTGAGATGAAAGCCAGGCATGATAGTATATGTCTGTACTCTCAGTACTTAGGAAATGGAAGCAAGAGGATCAGGAGTTTAAGGCCAGCCTGGGCAACATGAGACCCTGCCTCAAAAGACTCAGGAGACCCTATCTCACAAAAGAGAAGAAGGAAAGGAGGGAGGGAGGAAGAGAGAGGAAATGAAGAAAGCACTTAGCACAAAACCTGTGATCTAGCGAACCTTCATTAAGTATTACTGTTGTTCTCCACCTTTCTTATGGTGGATGGCTCTTTAACCACATGGCTATGCTTCCTCAATTCTATCAGCCATCTGCAGGTACTAAATATAGTCAGAACATCTGCAAAGCAGATGTTAACAAGATTTCAATGGACTTTTCTCTATTTTTTCTGTTGCACATACCCACACCTGTGCCACAATAAAAGTATGACATGACACGCCCCATATCAATTTAGCTATCCAGTCATCTGCATCTTCTAACCTATGTCATTAGTACACGAGAGTGAGTATATACACGTACAGACATGGCTCCATACTCTACTGGAAAATAAAGAACAGAGGAAAGTAAGGGACATCAGGCCATCAAAACATAAGACCCATTTATGACTCACCACAGTGATATGCACCAGTGGAGAACCCTATATTTGGGCAACTGAGAAACTCAATACAAATAGTGATATAGGCAAATCAGAAAAAGTAAGAGGCAAAGACCAAATAAGTAAAAATTCTACTATAAAAACCCTTCTTATCAGAGCTGGTGGTGCACACCTTTAATTCTGGCACTCAGGAGGCAAAAGCAGGCAGATCTCACAGAGATCAAGGCCAGCTTAGTCTACATAATGAGTTTCAGGTTGGCTGGGGCTACATGGAGACCCTGTCAAAAACAAAACAACAACCCAAACAAAACCCTTCTCAAGCTGGGCCTGGTGGCATATACCTACAATTCCAGCAACTCCGAGGTTAAGGTGGCAGGAATGAACGTTTAAAGTCAGCCTAGGCGCAATGAAAAAAAAAAAAAGAAAACAAGAACTGGCGAGGGGCTGGAGAAATGGCTCAGTGGTTAAGAGCACATATTGTTCTTCCAGAGGACCTGGGTTCAGTTCCCAAAATCCACACCAGGCAGCTCACAACTGCCTTTAACTCCAGTACCTAATACCTTCTTTTGGCCTCCTCAGTAACTACACGCACCTGGTATACATGCAGTCACGTAGGCAGTATACATACACATACATAAAAATATACAAATCTTTAAAAGAAGAAAAGCCAGAGGGATGGTTCAGCAGGTAAAGGTGCCAGTGTCTAACCAGGACAACCTAAGTTTGATCCCCAGGATCCACATGGCAGAAGAAAACAGCATGTGTGTGACTCCTGCAAGTTATCCTCTGACCTCCACATGTGCACTATGTCACATGTACATCCAACACAAAATAAATAACGTAATAAAAATGTTTCTTAAAAAGCATATATGAGCTTAGGAATGCTGGTACACAATTTAAAAAAATATATTTCATTTATTATTTTTATTTTATGTGTATGTGTGTATTGCCTGCATGTAGTGCACCCGTGTCGTGCAATGCCTGCAGAGAGTAGAGGAGACTGTCAGATCCCCTGGAACTGGAGTTACGGACAGCTGTTAGCTGCCATGTGGGTGCTGGGATTCAAACCCGGGTCTTTTGCAAGAACCACCAGTGTTCTTAACCACTGAGCCATCTCTCCAGCCCCCACTGGTATACACTTTTAATCCCCGCACTCAGGATGCAGAGGCAGGAGGATCTCTGAGGTTGAAGCCAGTTTGGTTTACACTGAGTTCCAGGCCAGTCAGAGCTACACAGTGAGATCCTGTCTCAAAAAAAAAAAAAAATTTTTTTTTTTAAACCATATATGACATGAAAGTAGCAGTGTAATTGTGTAAAGGGACAGAGGGGACTAACAGGAGGAAGGAGAGGAAGGAGGAGGCGGGGGGGGTATGGGAGGGAATATGCTAAACACGCCATATATATTTGGATGAAAACTTAATTCCTTCCCTCATGATGCTTTAGGTTATGTTCACCCCCAAGCCTCACCTGGATCAAGGCAATAAGAGGAGAGACTACAATGGTGATTCCTTTGGCCAATAGGGCAGGGAGCTGATAGCAAAGGGATTTTCCTGCCCCTGTGGGCATGCATACAAAGACATCCTTGTCCCCTGCAAAAATAGAAGATAACATTTCAATGCATCCTGCCTTTTCATTAAGATTATTGAAAACATTTTCTTTCCTTTAGAAGGGGCCTATCCCCAAGACAGGATACTTATCCTTGCTTTTTGACTTTCTACCCCCTGCCCCACACCTTGCTTTCTTTTTTAAACTTGTTTTTCATGGGGGTTGGAGAGATGGCTCCAGCTGCTCTTGCAAAGGACCTTGGTTTGGTTCCCAGCATTTACATATTGGCTAACAACTGTCCTAACTCCAGTTCCAGTGGATCCAACACCCTCTTCTGGTTTGCAAGGGAAGTGAATGACATGGGTGCACTTACATACATGCAGGCAAAACACTCATATGCATAAAATAAAAATAAATACATTAGAAGGGGACTTGCTATGTGGACCAGGTTGGATTTGAACTTGCTTGATCTTCCTGCCTTATAGGCCTGCATCACCAAGTCCAGCCCTGGCTGTTGAAAATCAAATGAAAATGTAGGAAAAACATCTAGTAGTGTCTGGCATATGGAAATGTCTCAGTATGATGTTATAATTCCTTTTCACATCCTTTCTATGTAAAGGGCAGGGATCCTAGAAGATTCAGACTTGTGTACAAACTGTTTCTAGTAATGGTACTAAAAACAAAAGTAATGAAAAACTTTTTGGGGGGCGGCATTTGAAACGGTCTCCCTGTAGCCCCAGCTGGCCTGGAACTCACTAGGCAGACCAGGCCTTGAACTCACAGAAATCCGCCTACCTCTGCCTCCCAAGTGTTGGGACTACAGGTGTGCACCACCATGCCCAGTATGAAAAACAATTTTTTGGCCAGGCGTGGTGGCGCACACCTTTAGTCCCAGGCAGAGGCAGGTGGATCTCTGTGAATTCACGGCCAGCCTGGTCTACATAGTGAGTTCCAGGACAGCTGGGGCTACTGGGAGACCCTGCCTCAAAAAGACAAAAAAAAAAAGAAAAACAATTTTTTAAAAAAATATGCATTTATTTATTTTACGTGTATGAGTGTATTGCCTGCATGCAGGTAAGTGCACGGGTGTCGTGCAATGCCCAAGGAGGGCAGAAGAGGCCGTTGGATCCCCTGTAACTGGAGTTACAGACGGTGGTTAGCTGTCATGTGGGTGTTGAGATTCGAACCCCCGTCTTCTGCAAGAACAACCAGTGTTCTTAACCACTAAGCCATCTCTCCAGCCCAAAAAACAATTTTTAAAAAATATTTTATTAGCCAGGCGTGGTGGTGCACACCTTTAATCCCAGAACTCAGGAGGCAGAGGCAGGCGGATCTCTGTGAGTTCAAGGCCAGCCTGGTCTACATAGCAAGTTCCAGCTGGGGCTACAGGAAGACCCTGTCTCAAAAAAGACCAAAAAAAATTTTTTTTTACTATTTTTATTTTATGTCTATGAGTGAATAGCCTGCATGTGCACCCATGTCATGCAGTGCCCATGGGGGTCTGACAGGGTGTTGGATCCCCTGGAACTGGAGTTTCAAACAGTTGTTAGCCACCATGTGGGTGCTGGGAATCCAACCCAGGTCCTCTGCAAGAGCAGTCAGTGCTCTTAACAACTGAGCCATCTCTCCACCCCCATGAAAAACAATTTTTAAAAAGAAAGCAAGGTGTTGGGGAGGGGGGAGAAAATCAAAAAGCAAGGATAAATATCCTGTTGGGTCAGCTGAGCTATGGTGATTGAACTAAACAGCCATTAAGGCAGAATATTGCTAGGTTATTTGGCACATCTGTGTCCAAAGACCCAAAGACATCACTCAGAAGTCCTTTTAATAAACCTATCATGAATATGACACTGCTGCTCCCCTCCTCTAGATGACCTCCACTAGTCATCATGTCACCAGTTTACAGTATCATTATTCCTTTCCTCTCTGAGGCCCAAGGTACTCAGTCTTCAGTAAGAGAATTACCTGGAAGTCAATGACAACTGCCACTCTTACTATTGTCTACACACAAAGACAAACAAAGTTTGTCTAAGAACAAACTTCAAAGACAACCTGTAGGCCTAAAATGAGGTTCTGTCATTAAAACTGCAAGTTTTAGCAGGGCATGGTGGCGCAAGCCTGTAATCCCAGCACTCAGGAGGCAGAGGGAGGCGGAGCTCTGGTGAGATCGAAGCCACCCTGGTCTACAAAGTGAGTTCCAGGCCAGCTGGGGCTACAGGGAGACCCTGTCTCAAAAAGATTAAAAAAAAAGAAAAAGAAAAACTGCAAGTTTTGTGGTCCAGCACGGTAGACCACACCTGTGGAGCTTGCCTATCTGAGATGGAGGCCAGCCCAGTTGAGGCTACAGGGAGACCTTGTCTAAAAACAAACAAAAAACAAAAACAAAAAATCCAAAAACCAAACAAACAAAAACAAAACAAAACAAACCCAACAGCTGCTGCTAGCTGTGGTTGATAAGTCTGAAAAATTTCCAAACTAGAGCCGGGCGTGGTGGCGCACGCCTTTAATCCCAGCACTCGGGAAGCTGAGGCAGGCGATTCTCTGTGGGTTTAAGGTCAGTCTGGTCCACATAGTGAGCACCAGGCCAGATGAGGCCACAAGGAAACCCTGTCTCAAATAAATAAGTAAGATTTCCAAACTAGATATGAATCAAGGGTGAGAAGGTAGGAAGAGTCAAAAGGAGGGCGATCTGCTGCGGTGCTATGGTACAACCAGGAGATATGCAAAGGCAGGTAGCTTGATAATGTTACCTTTCACTACAGCCATGGTCGCACTCTCCTGTAACGGCGTCTTAAAAGAATCAAACCCAAAGACCTTCTTCAATATGATCCGGACTCGCCGCTCAGGGTCAACCGGAGTGGAGGAAGGGTGGGTACTCATCTTAGCGAAAAATAGCCAAAAAGTAAGGCAAAGGTGGTCAATGGCTGTCAGGAAAACCGTCTGTTCCACTTTAAAAATATAGCTTATGTTTCTTCTGGCAGCATAATATAGTTACATCTAATATAGTATTTTCAAGTAGTGAAACTGCAGCTTAAACTGCTTAAGTCATATATTCCTGGGTAATAAACATTACTTTTACTCTTAATGTAAATACTGAATTGTCCGAGGCCACAGTAAGGCAGAGCCAGAAATTGGATGAAGACCAAAAATAAAAATAAACAGCCTTCCGAATCGTTCGGAGAACGCAGATTTTTTTTTCTCTCTCTCTCTAGGATCCACCGTCCACTCCTCGTTCTAGAAGAGCAGGCTTGACGACCATTCTTCCCTCCAGGAGCCTGACCCCCTGCCCCCTCGCTTTGAGCCCCGGAGTCAAAAGTTTTTGCCCTTCATCAGTCGAAGGCTCCCTTGCTTCGCGCCAAGTAGGACCGCCCGTGGGTCTCCCAGACTCTCGCGGCCGCCAGTGTCGGCTGGCTCAGCAGCTTCTCAGAGAAGCCGAGCCACCACGTCCCACTCAGAATCCGAACGGCTAAGTACAAGCCGGATAGCTTTACATCCGTCGCGTGCTAATGACGTTAAGGAGGCGGGTCAGTCCGAGAAACGGCTATTTTGATTGGTCTTCGTTCTGGTGCGAGGTCTCCTGGGATCAAGAAGTTGGGTTTCCAACCGGAAGTGGACTTGTGAGTCATAGGCCTGAGCCGCACCGGCCCATGGGAGTAAAATGGCGGGGAAGAAGAATGTTTTGTCGTCTCTTGCGGTCTATGCGGAAGATTCAGAGCCTGAATCTGATGGCGAGGCTGGAGTCGACGCTGTAAACAGCGCGGCTGGTGAGTACCGTGCTGTAAGGGAGGGATCGAGTGTCTCTTCTGGTTCAAAATGCTGCTTCTCTAGCGGGGTGAGAGGGAAAGAGATGCTCATTGTGCCCGGTGTACCGAATCCTGGAACCCCAAAGAGCAGCCCCAGGTTAGGCAAGTAGAGACTCTTGTAAAAATGATCCCCTGATTCCCCTTCCTTACTGTGAACCTCTCTGCCAGGCATCCTGCATGGCAGAGGATGGATGATGGGGAAAAGATATTCCAGGTTGCTGCCTCCTGAGTGCTGGGGATTAAGATGTGGGCCACTGAACACGGCTACTTTGTGAGTTTTTAAATTAGTAATTGTGTTGCCCTTCCCGCTGAAAACCCCAGTGGGAACAGATTTCTTAGGAGGAATAGAGAAATCAAGTTACCTAACATACCCGATTTTTGGTTTCCTGGTTTGAAAAGTGGGAGGGGCTGTACAGAAATGAGGAAGGCAACCTGTCTTGTGAAGAGAAGACAAATTCACAGTTGCCTGTGAAAAAAGGTAGAGATGTCTATGTGTCAAAAAATAAGTTTAGTCCGTGTGGTTGTGCGTGCCTCTAATCCCAGCACTCAGGAGACAGAGGCAGGTGGATATCTGTGAGTTCAAGGCCAACCAGGGCTACATAGGGAGACATCTCAAAAAAAAGTTTAAGAAACCTGTTGATCTGCTTCAAAGAGAGAAAGACTTCCACCTGCACAACAGGTGGACTGACAGCATGTAGGTTTGCTCCTCCTCCCACCTGGTGTTGGGAATCAAACACATGCTAGGAAAGTGCTTCTGAGTGATGTCTTCAGCCTGGACTAGAAAAATTAGAAACAGAATTTAGCAGAAGTTAGTGTTTGATTTTCTTCCCTATCATTCATATATATATATATGAATATATATATATATACATATATATAAATTATGTGTGTATGTTGGGGTGGGATGTGAATGTATGAGCTAGTGCAGGTACCTGTGGAGACCTGAGGGGGATCTCCAGAAGCTGGAGTTACAGGTAGTTGTGAGCTGCCTGATGTGGGTGTGAAAACTGAACTTAGGTCCTCTACTAAAGCAGTACGTGAGCCAGGTGTGGTGGCACAGGCCTGTAGTCCCAGCACTTGGGAGGCAGAGGCAGGCAGATCTCTGTGAGTTCAAGGCCAGCCTGGTCTACATAGTGAGTTCCAGGACAGCTGGGGCTACAGGGAGACAGGGAGACCCTGCTTCAAAAAGACAAAAAACAAAAAGTAGTACATGCTCTTGACCTCTAACCCATCTCTCCAGCCCCCATCTCCCCCAACCCATCTTAATTTGGTCTTCCTAAGTCCAGAATCTGGGGCCTGTAGTCACTTATCTGAGGATTAGATTCCCCTTTTATCTTCAGAAATAATCTTGGTAATTGAATTTTCAGGAAAAATTTTGCCTTTTTTTTCTCCATTCTCCCACCGTCTCCTGATCTCTACCCCCAACCCTGGTTTCAGAAGAAAAAGGTGGATTGGTATCTGATGCCTATGGAGAGGATGACTTTTCTCGTCTAGGGGGTGATGAAGATGGTTATGAAGAAGACGACGATGAGAACAGCAAACAGTCGGTAGGTAAATCTCCCAAATCCAGAGCTGCCCAGAGGATCATTTCAGAACTGTCCAAACTGGGTGTGACAACAGTATTCCATTTCATGGTTAACTTCATCCCTTTGTCCTTTTTGTTTGGTGTCAGTTCATATAGGAGTTGGGGATGTTGCTCGTGCAAGATTGCTTTGTTTAGCGTGTGCAAGTGTTTGATCCTCAGCACCATGAAAAGAAGAAAAAATTGAACTGGTTAGGTAGCAGTAACTGTGTTTAAAAATTAAATTTGTTTTTTACCTGTTCTGTATTGTATTAACTTTTGAATTGAATTGGGATTTGTATGTTTGTTGAGATAAGGTCTCATGAAGCCCAGGCTGGTCTCAAACTCGCTGTGTAGCCCAAGGCTAGCCTTAAACTCCTGATCCTCCTGCTTCAGCCTCCCAAGAACTGGGATTATAAGCATGAGACACCATGCGCAGCTTGGTGGGCTATTATGTGTAACCCATATGTCAATGGGTGTTTTATATTGGTTCTCCATATTTAAATAGTTTATCAACATTTGTAATGGTGTCTTCATCCTAATTGGTCTGCCATTTATATCTGTAATCAGCTCTGTAGTATTTTTAATCTTGGGGCTTATTCAGAACTTTAGTTTTTTAACAGAGTAAGGAAGAAAAACATTTGTTATCATCCACTTTGATTATTTATTGATTTGGTCTTTTTGAGACAGCGTCTGGAACTCATTATGTAGAGCAGGCTGGCCTTGAACTCACAGAAATCCGTCTGCCTCTGTCTCCCAGGTGTTGGAACTAAAGGCATGCACCACCACACCCAACTACAAGAAGGATTTAGGATACGCAGTCACCTGAGGAGTGCAAATCAGAATTTTAAAAAGTTTGGACGAAAAGCAAGGAAATTTAGGCTGTTTACCACAAAGACATACCAAGTTGAATTTGAATATTGACTCTAATTCTAATCTCATATTTGGATATTTAGCAGCAATTTTCATTGAAATAAAACATTTTATTTTTTATTTTGGAATTTTTGTTATGCATTGATATGTAAATGCTAGCATTAGAATGCCTTCTAGCTGGGCACAGTGGCCCATGCCTATCATTTCAGCGTGCTAAAGTGGGAAGGTCTGAGAGTTCAAAGCTAGGCTGGGCTACATAGCAAGATTCCTTTCTCAACTAAGACAAATTAATAAAAATAAGGGCTGGGGTGTGGCTCAGTGATACAGCTATGATGCTTACCTAGCATGCATAAGTACCTTAGATTAATCCATACCATCACGCAAAAACAAGCAAAACATTTCACAGAAATTTTTTTTCACAAGAGAGCAAATCCACTTTATTTACTTTCCATTAGTTTAAATCTGTGAGGGGTACAGCATCACACAGATTCTGTGTCCAGTAACCTTTAACCTTTGCAGGACATTTGCTTTGCAATTTGGCAAGAACCATACCACTGTTTGCATGGGCCTGGGTTACCTTTCCCTAGATTACTATGATTTTGTTTGGCTTGCTACCAGGAGTCACTGTTGTTTTTTGCTTTGTACACATAAGCACATCTTTTACCTAAGCAGAATTCGGTTTCATCTTCAGCATAAACACCTTCAATTTTAAGAAGAGCTGTATGCTCTCCTTGTTTCCAGAGTTCTTACTTATCACCAGCAAAAGCGTCCTTGTACCACGGCCTTCCAGACATATTTGCCTTTTAGGAGTCCTGTTCCCAGCAGGCCTGCACTGGTGCCAAGATGGCAGAGGAAGGCGAGGTCTGCCACGTCAAAAATGTATTTTATATTTTACGTTCTTTTGTGAGATTTTTTTCATGCCTTTCACCCCACCCTTTAGTGATAATAATTCAGAGTCGAGTAAACTTAGGGAACTTTTATGGACTGAGAATATGGCTCATGTGGTAGTATGTTTGTCTAGCATGCATGAAGACCTAGGTTTGATCCCCAGTAGCAATTATATATACTGGCCCATCATGGCACATGCTTGTAATCCCACTACTCAGGAGGTGGAGGCAAGAGGATCAGAAGTTCAAGCTCATCCTCAGCTACATAGTGAGTTCAGGACCAGCTTGGACTACATGAGACCCTGCCTCAAGAAAAAAAAATGAAAGAGAGAAAACTTTTGTTACGTTCTTTGACTTTCCTTAAATAGGTATTTATTGCCTTAATATCCAAAACCGTTTTCTTTAATATATTTGCAGGTGGTTTCTAAATATTGATCCATATTTTCTTTGACTTTTTGTCATATTTAAACCATGATAATTTAGTAAAATAATCTTACCAAACCCCAATATAGATATTTTGAGCTATGGTTGTGTTCTGCCAAGCTCAATCTTTGATTTGGCTGATTGATTTCTTTCTGAGGAAATTGTATAGATTGCATTTAAAGCCTTTAATTCCCTGGTACCTTACAGGACACTTGTCTCAAAATATAATTTGTTCACACTTAGGTAGTATTTGTGTTAACATCTGGACTGCTCTGTCATGTTTGGGTTAAAATACAGCTTTTTGGAAAGTAATGCTTGCGAGGAAAATCAGTCATGCCTGGACTTTCAGGTAGCGGGATGGAGTGTTGTAGGTGATAGAAATGGCATGGATTTTAACTAATAGGGTAGCTGGTTCCGCATCTACTCCTGAGCTTTTGACTTCTATTGAATTAACGTTCAGTAGACTGGTGAGCCCACGTTGGAGAATGCAGTACTACCATGGTTCTTTGACCCAGACAGGCCTCATTTGGGGCTGAAAACAATGGACCAGTGGCAATACAGTGAGAAATCAGGAAAAGCTGGGGGTTGCCCTTTGGTACCCCCTTTCCTGGATCTCTTGATGTAGTGATTTGATGCCTACTCCCTATGTTCATGTTAGTGCAAATGCCAGTTGTTTGAGGTGCTGGGACTTAGATGTGAGTCGTAGTACTTAGATGTTGATCGGTGTGATGAGAAGTCTAAGTATTTGTGGATATGAATGACAAAGAGGGGGTAAAAGTGTTCATAATCCTGGTTTTAAATAACTGATATTTTGATGGACTATGCCTTTTTGATCCTGTGGCCGTGTCTGACGCTTTTGAAACTTAGTGCAGGTTCTCTATTTTTTCGTGTTTTTTCACCTTAGGAATTTGCAGTGGTGTGGATCATGACAACTCTGGAGTAACTTGTTGATTTTGAGCTGCTGATAGATTTTTTCCCCCCAGACATCTCCTTTTCCCTTCTTTTTCTCTAGTTCTGGATCATATGATAGAGAAGGGGTTCTTGGTGGGTTGACGCCAGCTGGGTAACAGGCTGTTTGCTCCGACCCCTGGTTATGCATGTAAGACTCCTCAGGCCCACTCTTTTAAGTTTAATCCTCTAAATTCTTTGTCTTGTAGGAAGATGACGATTCAGAGACTGAAAAACCTGAGGCTGATGACCCAAAGGTATTTGGTGTTGGCTGTGGTGGGGTGGCTGGATGCAATCAAGGATTTTTAACATTGTGGCTCAGTTCTTATGTCAGTTCCAAGTCTGTCCCACTAACATACAGAAATGTGGGCATTTTCTCGGATAAAACCAACTCTAAAAGAAAAGACCTCAAGACCACCTAGAAATATGTCCTGAGGCCATTTGATTTCCAGCCTTGCAGATTATGTGAGACTCTAGATTAGAAAGACAGGAGGCCTGTCTGGGTCCCACAGCTCCTGCACACTCTGCATCTGGTGTGGAACTTTGTAAGGTTAGATGAGGGAGTGTTTTTAGAATCAGGAAGGCATAGGGCTCCCTTGTGTTCTGTGGCTTCTCTCAGTCATGAAAAAAAGTTCTGGGAAGGTTGGACCAACATGAAGCTTTGCCCCAGCTGTTGAGCCTAGTCCTCCTTTTCCCAGGGATGTGCCCTTCCACTCTGGGGCAGGCCCTGCAGCATGGTCCTTTTTGAAATAACATAGCTATTTCTTCTCATAGGCCCATCCCAACAGCAGCTGAGAGGGACTGGCGGTGGTTGTCACAGTCCTTCACGATCTTGTGGTGCTGACAGTTAAGATCCCTCATGCTGATTAAGCTGCATTCTGTGCACTGAGTGTTACAGCTGTGCTTTTTGAGGAATAATACTTTATGGGACTAACTTTTCTAAGATTTATTTATTTTATTTATGTCTATATAAATGTGCCTGCATGAGTTTATGCCCACCACACACATGTAGATGCTCACAGAAGCCAGAGGGTACCAGATCCCCTGGAACTAGAGCTAACAGGCAATTGTGAGGTACCTGATATAGGTACTGGGACCTGAACTTGGGTCCTGTATAAGAGCAGCAAGTGCTCTTAACTGTTGAGCCATCACTCCAGGTCAGGACAAACATTTTATTTCCCCAAAAGATAAATTCCATGGGGGAATATATACCACATTTTGAAATTATAAACTACTTCAAAAACAACTGCAGCCTTCAAAGTAGTCTAGTGAAATTTAGGAAAATTATGCTTGGTTGTATTATAAATCAGTAATCCCTTAATATCTACGGGGACTTGTTCCAGGACACCCCAACTTCACACCCTGTAGATACCAAAATCTATAGATGCTCATGGCCCTTGTATAAAATGTTTGTATATAACCTGTGCAGTCCATCTGCATATTTCAGATCATCTCTAGGTCACTTGAAATATCTGCTACAATGTAATTTATGGTTGTACTGTATTGTTAAGAGTTCAATATAATGGGGCTGGAGAGATAGCTCAGCAGTTAAGGGCACTGACTGCTCTCGCAAAGGACCTGGGTTTGATTCCCAGCACCCACATGGTGGCTATGAACCGTCCTTAACTCCAGTTCCAGGGGAATCCGAAGCCCTCTTCTGACCTCTGAGGCATGCACGACACAGGTGCACTCATATATGCTGGTACATACACAGAAAATAAAAAGGTGTGGCACACACCTTTAATCCCAGAACTTGTGGGGCAGAGGCAGGCAGATCTCTGTGAGTGCGAGGCCAGCCTGGTCTACATGGTGAGTTCCAGGACAGCTTGGGCTACAGGGAGACCCTGTCTCAAAAAAACCAAAAAAAAAAAAAAAAAATCAATATAAATGCAATTTTTTTTTGGTCTTTTGAGACAGTGTCTCCCTGTAGCCCAAGCTGGCTTGGAACTCACTATGTAGACCAGGCTGGCCTTGATCTCACAGAGATCTGCCTGCCTGTACCTCCCGAGTGCTGGGTCTAAAGGTGTGCACCACCACCCCTGGTCTAGGGGCAAATTTTTATTTTATTTTTTTAATTTATTTTTTGGTCTTTTTGAGGCAGGGTCTCTCTGTAGCCCCAGCTGTCCTGGAGTCACTATATCTATATAGACCAGGCTGACCTTGAACTCATAGAGATCTGCCTGCCTCTGCCCCCCCCCGGATGCTGGGATTAAAGGCATGCGCCACCACACCTGGCTAGAAGCAAATTTTTAAAAAAATTTAGATTTATTATTGTTTCTAATTGTGTGTGTGTGTGTGTGTGTGTGTGTGTGTGTGTGTGTGTGTGTGTGTGTACACATGTAAGTGAAGGTTTCATGGAAGCCAGAGGTGTCAAATCCCTTTGGAGCTGGAGTTATGGGTAGTTGTGAACAGTTGAACACGGGTGCTGGGAACTGAACTTGGATCCTCTACAAAGTCAGCACGTGGTATTAACCACTGAGCTCTCTCTCCAGCCCCATAGATGCATTTTTTTTTCCCCAAATAATTTTAGCTCACAGTTGGTTGAATCAGTAAATGTGAAACCCATACGTAGAGAGTGCCAGGAATATATCTGAAAATGTAGTGTGAGCTGTTCCATATTGGAACTGATTCTGTGATTGAATACAACTGTGTGCAGCCATTGAAATAAAATTGTAAAAGTCAGATAACATGTTTTACCAAAGAAAGTACATTTTGACACTAGCATGCAAGAGAAAGAAAGTATGAGCTCAAGAAACTAAATGCAAACTACTTCTATGCAGATTGAAGAACCCAGGTCTAGAACTTGTCTTGGGGGAGTTTATAGGGCAGAACTGTGGGTTAAGCCAGAAGGCCATCTGTGAAAGTTGGCAGGACTTGACTGTCACCTTCTAGAGTACTGTAATCCCAATGGTAAATCTTTGTTGTTGGTGGTGGTGGTGGTGTTTTTGAGACAGGGTCTCCCAATAGCTCCAACTGGCCTGAAACTCACTATATAGACTAGGATGGCCTGGATCTCACAAAAATCCACCTGCCTCTGCCTCCTGAGATTAAAGGTGTGTACCACCACACTGGGCCACCAACAGAAAATCTTTGAAGAAAAAGATTTTCTTTGGGGTGGGGGGCGGAGACAACTTAGGAAGATTGTGAATGTGATTTTTGTGCTGAGCTCCCCTTCTCATACCTACATCAAGGTACAAAAAACTTCCAATCTAGTTTACTCCTTGGATGGGCATGCTGACTTATGCCTATGATCCTAGCACTTGGGATTGGAAGGCTAAATTGAGAAACGTGGTGAGTTTGAGGCCAACCTGGCCTGCAGAGTGAGACCCTGGCCCAAAAAAAACAGCAAAGCAAAAACAAACTTGCTCTCTCGCCTTGTGCTTTGCCCCATTCAGTCATTTGAATGTCAAGTCATGAGATAATTTCTGTTGGCATGACTCAGAAATCAGAACACAGAATCCAGCCCTAAAAGTTACTTGATAACTTTAGTTCTTTGTAACCATGTAGCCTACCAGCTTAGCATCAAACTATCTTCCAAGTAGTGTCTGTACTTAGATGCATCAGTTTTCTGATGTATTGAAGTTTTATTGTAATTTATATTTAGAGATTTTGTTGTTATGGTAAGCTCTTGATTTGAATAGATCTAGCAGAATCCCAGGCAGTGGATCTTTTTTACTGGTGTCATTGGTTTAACCAATGAGTTGCTGTCACAGCTGTTGTTTCCACTAGATGGCACTCTCTCCTTTTCAAGCCTTTTTTTTTTTTTTTTTTTTTTTTTTTTTTGAGACAGGGTCTCCCTATAGCCACAGCTGTCCTGGAACTCATTATGTAGACCAGGCTGGCCTTGAACTCACAGAGATCCGCCTGCCTCTGCCTCCTGAGTGCTGGGATTAAAGGTGTGCGTCACCACATCTGGCTCATCTTTAACTTTTTCTATAGCTGTTCTCAAAACATTTTGGCTTCATGATACAACTGAAAATAGCTCTCAAAGAGCTTTTGCTCAAAATGAGCAAAATGATTTTATCTATTGATCTCTTAGAAATCAGGACTGAAGCCAGACATAGTGGTGCATGCCTTTAGTCCCAGTGCTCGGGAGGCAGAGGCAGATGGATCTCTGTGAGATATAGGCCAGCCTGGTCTACATAGTGAGTTCCAGGACACCTGGGGCTATGGGAGGCCCTGTCTTCAAAAGACCAGATAGATGACTGAGGACGGACGGACAGACAGACAGACAGACAGACAGACAGATAGATAGATAGATAGAATAAAATTCAGTCCATTGTATATTACCATAAATAACATTTTCATGAAAAAAATAAGTTTCTAAAAAAAATCTGTGAGTACAAAGAATGGCACTAACTTGCTGTTTACAAGTCTCTAATTTATCACTTAACAGAATACATATGGATTCTTGGAACTGCATTTTTTGCAGTATGTCTTAGAGTGTTTGAAGAAAATCTGATTTCACACAGGCAGCTGAAAAGTAGAAGTAAAGCCAAGTGTGGTGACACATTCTGTAATTCCAGAACTCGGAAAGCTAAGGCAGAAGGATCAAAAGTTGGAAGCCAGCCTGGATGTTCTTCTTGATACTTCATCAGACCCTAACTAGTGGGGGTGCTGGGGAGATGCCTTAGCTGGTAAAGTACCTGCCATGCAAGCATGAGACCTCAGCACTCATAAAAACCAGGTGTAGTGGTACACATGTGTACTGTGACCCCAGCCCTGGGGCAGATGGAGACGGGCAGATCCCTGAAGCTCGTTGCCCAGGCTGTCTAGTTAGTTGATGAGCTTCAGGTTCAGTGAGAGACATTATCTCAAAAAATAGGTGGAGAGTCATGTAGGAAGACACTGGGTATCTCCCTCTAGCCTCCACATAAACGAAACCATGTGAACACACGCATACAACCACAAACACAAACTCAAGTGGTAGTTTCCTAGTGCTTAGTTGCAACATGGAATGTGAAATCATCACTAAACTTTTTGCACTAAAATCTTTGGTTTGGTTTGGTTTGGTTTTTGCGTTTGTATTTCATACTATAGCCCAGGCTGGCCTCAAATTCAAAGCAATCCTCCTTATCTACATCTCAAGTGCTAGCCATCATGCCCAGCCACAGATCTGTCTAAATCTCTCAATGGGTTTTTCAAAATACACAATTTTTTTGTTTGTTTTTTTTTTATTTTTATTTTATGAGTGTTATGCCTGCATGTAGGTGAGTGCACCCGTGTCGTGCAGTGCCCACAGAGCACAGAAGAGGCT